TTGGAGCTATACTCCATTCCCTCTTACGTCTTTATGGCGTGGTGCTTAATTATTATTATTATTATTATTATTATTATTATTATTTGAGGGAGTGGGTTTCCCCATGCACCGCGACACCCTACCGGTATTGGTGCATCCTATCAGCCTCGTTCAGCCAACGAGGTCGGCCCTCGGTACCTTGATACTTCCCCCATCTACCAGAGGCATTGGAAACTACTTGGGCGGGAAACTTGCCTAATTTTGCTCAGAGGTCTCCTGGAGACATGAGGAACTTTTACGTGCCGTAAATCTACGACACGGGACCCACGGCTTAAAGTCCCTCCCGGAGGACTTGTTTCATCTTTATTTCCAGTGAAAGGGCCTGTTACATCCGGCTCTTCATTGGAGTCAAACTTTTACAGCGCGATTTACACAGGCTTCTGTTTCAGTGATCGGATAGGATGCATGTGGATTCAGTTCTTACTTTATGGGCTTGTTTCCTTATTCTGGGGTGGCCAACCTGTCCCGTATATCGCTGTCATGATGAAACAGGTTATGTCATACGTTTTGTAGGCAACCTTACGGAAAAAAAATCCCGTGTAAGCACGTAAAAATTTCTCACAGGCGTGTGTATACAGGAAGCATGGTGAAAATAAAACGTAGTAACTTTCTAATGATGACGTAGCGGTTTACGTCATTACGTGCCGATGACGCACCCTCTTTCTCATAACAGATGAAGCATAAATTCCAATGATTAACAGCTAAGGTCTACCTTGGAAGATGACAGTTTCGCATATGTTCAAGACATGTACCAATGTTATGCGAGGAGCTTGGGGCTGTGTCACAGAGCTCTGATAGAGAAGGGGGTGCTTTGTTTCCTGTAGCGCAACTTGGCGAGACGTTCATTTAAATAGAGCTGTTTCCACACAGCCTCACGACTAATCAATGCTTCTCCAAGACGCGCCACCGACGCTGGTAGAAAGGACGCTGAGATTTGTGGCGTCGTATAGACGCGAACGTCTGATATTCCAGTGCGTCTCAGGACATTGTAAACTGGGGCAAATCGTTCGATATTTGGAGCAAGGGAAAGTGGTACTCTGCGCTCAGTTGCGCTGCCTCTGTTTGCGGGTACATATCTATTGTGTTTCACAGGGCAACATTTTCAAAACTAGGGTTCCATTGCCTTAAGCCACTACTTTTCCATTTAAGTAGCGCCTCAATTATCCTCACGAGGCTGAGCGGACCCCGTTCCAGACCCACTACTTCTCAGAAAATCTGGTAGCGCCGAGAACCGAACCCGGGACCTCTGGACCTGTAGCCAGGAACTGTGACCACTAGAACACTAGACCACTCTGTCTTCATAGTATAGTGCTAAATTAATTAATGACAGGAAAGAGTACCGCATGTAGGGTACAGAAGTCCTTCATGTTGCAAACACGAGGAAGGTACATATTCAGTTCCAGGCATTGCGTAGATATAAGTTGCATAGTGATTAAAATAGCTTTAATCGTGAATTAAATCTGATTGTACGTTTTGAATTTAATTACATTTTTAAACTTCCTATGAAACAACTATTTTTTTTTAATTCAGTTCCGTAGAAAATGATTGAATTCAGCATTGTGTAACGAGAAAACCAAATTATTCTGGAAATGTGTGTTTTATTCACAAGCGTTTTGGTGCAATGCTTTCTTTTTTTGTTCCGTTTAAATTCCACTTGCAAGGGGAACGTCAGGATTGGATTGGATTGGATTCAATTGATTAGTAGGGAACATGGCCAATTACACAGTCACAAGAAATATAATATATTTAATTGGATCCAAAAATATCCGATATGGAATTTATTTAGCTTCCATATTCTGCCTTCCACTCGGTTAGCTCTAATGATAAAATAATTACTTTTTTTACAAACTCCAATTAAGTTTCCTTACATAACTTTCATATGTTTCTGTCTGGACAAATGGGAAGTTTATATTTATTTTATAATAATACTGATAATTTGCGGCAACTAAATAAAATGACATTCTACGGCCTGGAATACCGGGGATCGATTCCAGACACCGGAAGCTATTGGCTAAAA